TGGATGGTGGCTTAAACTCACACTGGGCACATGTGTGTGCATGCCCAAGATCCTGAGAAGAGACTAGAGGAGAAGGGATTGTGGCATGACCATCCCCGCTGGAGAGCGATTTCTTGCTTCCTGTCTCTCTGTCTCTCTCTGTCTTTCCAGCAAGTGCATGTGGCCTATAGCAAAAACCTCTAAAAAAAACCCAAAAAACAAAAACAAACAAACAAAAAAAATTAGAAGAAACAAAACAATAGCAACAAAAAAATTCTTGGTAGTGTACTAAATTGCAGCACTGGAAACCACATAGTTGACCACAGGTTTAAATCCCTGGCCTAGTTGACTAAAACTCGCAGGAAGAGTGCATGTGCCCAAATCTTGACAAACTGGAGACATATCACACATGATAAGGCTCTGTTGAAGGTCTCTTTCTTTCTCTTTCCTTTACATAAATTAGATATAGTCTACAATAAATAAGATAAACTCCCCCTTCTCTCTTCCAAAAAAAATAGTCAAATGAGATACTGGTTTAACTTGCTGGTGAAAAGTCTGAAATGTATTCAATGTTTTGAAGAAATGTAATTGTATTGCTTTCAAATTTGAATATCTTATAATCTAATACATGGCACATAAATTAAACTTTTTAAAAAGTAGAGTAAGTTGGAGGCATGGTGGTTAAGACAGCTGGATCCCACATGGCTAACTTTATAGTTCAAGTCTCAAACCCTGGTCTGAGAAACATGCCAGATATATGTGCATGCATGCACAAAATCCTGAAAGGAGGGAGACATGGAGGAAAAGGGATTATTGTGACCATTGCCCATGGGAAGGTGCTTTCTCACTTCCTCTCTGTCTCTTTCTGGTGCGCTTTGACTTTAAAAAAATAGAAAAGAGGGAATTTAATGAAAAAATACTTAACAATAAATATTTCTAGAGTGTCTAGTCTCAACCTACTTCTATCTTTGCCTTTCTTAAATCTATTTGCAAACACAGCAGTCAAAATAATCTTTTACAGGCTTAGATCAGATCCTGCCACTTCTCTGTTCAGCATCTTGCCACAGTCTCTACGAGGCTTTATATAATCTGCCCACCTCAACTCCCTACTTCTATGACTTCATTTCTTAACACCTTCCCCCTTACTCAGCCCGCACATTGGACTCTTTTCTATTCTTTAATCATGCCAGCACTTCTGCCTCAGGGTCTTCGCACTTGTGGTTCCCTCTGCCTGAAATCCTCTTCTTCAGTCACAATCTCTTTCATGGCCTTATTCAGATACCACCTGCTCTGACCACCCTGTTTAAAATTGTTAATTTCCCCCCACCCCACCACTATCTTCTCTATAGCATGTCGTTCTCTATTTGTTTATTTCCATGTTTTGCCTATAATCTGCCTTTCCCCACCCTCCCTGCAATGTAAGCTCCACCTGACAGGGGTTTTGCTTCCTTTTGATCACTGCTGCGTTCTAGTCCCCAGCCTAGGGACAGAGTGATAGCACTATTTGTTGAATGGATGATTACATGAATTCATAGATGGTGCTAGGTGCCTTTACATATGCCATCTCATTCACAGCTTTTGGTAAAGATTTGATTTTCATAGTAATATGTAATTGTGTGTTTTTATATCCAACAATTGCTGCTCCCTGAAACTAAAGATGAACTGAGAGCATCTTTAATTCTTGGAACTGAAATGTGAAAAATACTTGTTTATTTTAATGTGTGGATGTCCTTTAAGGGCATCTGACATAAGTCTGAGATTCAGAAGAAGTTGTTTTTTAACTTCTTACTCAATAGAAATGACATATGTCACTTCTGAATTAAAATAAATTATGAATTTTCATGTACCTCTAAACTGGCCTTTCCTATTTTAATTCTCCAACCCTGAAAAACAATGATGAGATTTGTCCAAATGGTGCATGACAGCACAAGTGTGGGCTGGATGTCCCGTTTCTGCTTTGTCAGAGATAAGGCCTGCTTACTGGATTTCTGGTTTCTATTACAGCTGATGACATGAAAGAAATGCTTGTAAGAACAAATGTTTGGTTCCAGGCTGTAGCCTAATTTAATAGTGTACTTGAAGAAGAAAAGTTGATGATTCATTCCAAAACCCCTGGGGAGAGAGGGGTGATTGTAAACAAGGGGCAAGAAAGTTTCATATAAAACCACAGACGCACTCTTATTAAACAACAACCAAAAAAGTCTTGTCTAAACTTGATTGAATGCTAATTGTTTTTTCCCTCAGAACAGTTTTAGCTGAGGAAAGATTGTTAGATTCAAAACTCTTCTCCTTCTGCTCCGATTTGGGGAGTGGGAGGTGGTAATCGTATTAATTTTTGATAGTTTCAGATCATTTGAAGTACTCGGATGAAAGATTACTCCGAGGTTTTTATAATTGTGGTTTTTCTCAAAGCATTCCATGTGATTGTCATTTTTGTAGGTGCCATAACTCTAGGCGTATTTTTATGGCATAAGGAAGAGCCACTTTTTAAATAGGATCTAAGATCTAAGACCATCTAAATAGGTAGAGTAGACAGCTGTCATAGATAAGGCCCCAAAACCCCTCTCACAGCTTGCTTTTTGATGCCTCTAACTTTGAAAATCAGGAATTCATTTTCTTGGATTAAGACTTCATCTCTTAGGAACTGGATGGTGGTGCAGAGCAGACCTCTGCAAAGGTGGTTTCTGGGTTTGCATGAGGAGACTCCCTGAGCACACTTGGGCATGCACATGCCCATGATCTGGGGATGGCTGGGGATGGGGGTGACCCTGTTAGAGGGGCTGGCAGGTGGCTTGGTGATTAAGGGTGCTGGACTCCCACATGGCTGACTATGGTTCGAGTCCCGGACCTGACAGCATGCTTTCTCTCTCTCTCTATCCCTCTCTGGTCAAATTGAAATAAATAAATGAATGAATAAATAAAGTTAAGTAAATAAAATAATTTTTTAAAAGACCCTGTTAGAGGTTCCAGCTCTCTTTTTCTCACTCATGGAAGAAATAAATAAATTTAAAAAGAAAAAGACTTCCATCTATTAATACTAATAGTCCAGCTCAAAATAATATGTTAAACTTTCTAGGCTATTTTTACCCTAATCGTTATGGCCTCACAGGCTTTAGGTTTTACAGGCTTTTCCAACTAGATGGAGAGGAAACAGTGGATATTGGTTGTGTGGTGATGAGGCTGAAGGTGGAGGGGGAGACAATGGCAGAGAGTAGCAGATCGAGTATCAGAAGATGAGGTCAAGTAAGGAAGGGAATTTGAATGCTTTTCCCTCTGTAGGAACTCTTTTTGTATGTGTGATAGAAAGTGAGTACGAGTGTGCGTGTACTCAAGAGAGAGAAAACCCTCAGCGGGGCTCGTCATGTGTGATCCTGCACATGTCCAGAATGTATTCAGGCAAATGGGGTAACCCAAATCTGCAGTCAGTCATGTGACTTCCAGCACTGTAGTCCAGTATGCTGCAGACTGTGCCACCAAAGCCAGCCCGTTTTCATCCATTCTTACCGAAGTCTTCCTTCCCTGAATACTGGAAGATCTTGAGGTTGACAAGGTAGAGGGGCCCGAAGAGAGACTGCACCAGTGATTCTCAGGTAACCCTAAACCACAATCTGGATTATTGTAGCAGTTAATCCTCCAGCATTAATCAAAACCATTCACTTACTTTACTTACTATGTATTGTTTCTCCATAATAACCAGAGACACTCTAAAAATGCCTTTATCATTTCAAAAAGTATCCTATAAAATATTTCTGACATGGTAGAATTGGTCTGTCTTCTCCACAGTTTTGTAAAGGAGTAAAACTAGTGATGCTATGTAAAAATCACTCTATCTTACAGTTTCTGTTAGGCTTTTGGACTAGTGTTACTGGCTCCATGGTTATTTCACTGAGATAACAGTGACATTTTAATTTCTCATCATTTAACTTATGTTTTTTTTTTTCTTTTATGTAACTCAAAACAATTTTGTAACTAAATTTTGTAAAGTTTGGCCTATTATCCCATTTAAAATGGCGATTTGCAACACAGTATGTAGCTTCTTCTTTTTTGGGGAGGGAGAGGTTTTTGCTATAGGGTGCATGCGCTCACCAGAAAGAGAGAGACAGAGAGACAGAAAGTGAGAAATCACCCCCCAGGGGGGATGGACACGCTGCAATCCCTTCTCCTCCGTTCTCCTCTCAGGATCTTGGGCAAAAATGCACACACGCCTGGCATGAGTTTAATCTACCGGATCCGGGACTCAAACAACATTTGACTACATGGGAATCCAGTGACATAACCATTATGCCAACTACTGGTCCCACAGCTTCTTCTTTAAAAAAAAAAAATTTGCCACAGGGCTGGCAGGTGGCATTGTGGTTAAGGGCACTGGACTCCCACATGGCTGACCATGGTTTGAGTCCTACACCTAGAGGCTTGCTTTCTCACTTTCCCTCTTCCTCTCTCACTCTGCCCCTCTCTGGTCAAATTAAAATAAATAAATAAGTAGATTGATAAATAAAATAATTCTTTTAAGAATTATTTTATTTATCAATCTACTTATTTATTTATTTTAATTTGACCAGAGAGGGGCAGAGTGAGAGAGGAAGAGGGAAAGTGAGAAAGCAAGCCTCTAGGTGTAGGACTCAAACCATGGTCAGCCATGTGGGAGTCCAGTGCCCTTAACCACAATGCCACCTGCTGGTCCCCAATAAAATAATTCTTAAAAAAATTTTGCCAGAGACTGGAGAAGGTAAGAAAGCCCCCCCTAAAGGGGAAAGGTCACACCACAATCCCATCTCCTCTCTTTCTCCCTCCTTTCAGGATTTTGTGCATGCACACACATGCAGCTGGTGTGCTTCCCAAGCTACTGGTTCTAGGACTCTAATAGTACAGTCAGCCACGTGGGATCCAGCTGCCTAAATCACCACACCATCAGATGGCCCACATCTTAGATTCTTTGAGCTACGGCACAGCTGTTCAAAAAAATCCTCTTGGCTTGTAAAAATTACTAGGTCTTTTCATCACAATCAATTTATTGGCTTTTTATGGAGCACTTAACATAGAGCAGACATTGTACCAGGTAGTAAGGCCACAGAGCTAAGGGCTGCAAGCTTGAACTTAGGTTGTTCAGTCTGGTCAGTGCAAGGAGACAAATTATTGTCTGCTGAAATTGCGACATCAGAGTGTGGGAGGCTATAGGACACTCTCCCTCTCCACTTTTTGAAAGTTTCTTTCTTTCTTTCATATGTGAGTGAGGAAACTCTCAACAAATTATTCATACTGTGACACCCCCTCCCCCACCAGTTCTACAGCCAGCCAGGATCATAGATGTGTCCATGGTCATGTCTTGCACATTTAGGTAGACCTGGGTTGGAAACCTGCAGCCTCCTCATGCAGCCAGCCATTGGGATCCAGCCGCCTTAACTACCACACCATCAAATGGCTATATCTTAGCTTCTTCAAGCTATAGCACTGCTGGTCCAGCATCGCATAGTCCCCACTGCCTGTGCCACTGTGGCTGGGGCCCTTTTTAGTGGGTTAAAGTCTGAGCTGAGTGTTTTAAGGATGTGAATAATGATAGGAATTAATAGATGAAGACATGGTTGTGGAGTGTTCTGGGCAGAGGGGGACAGTATGTGCAAAGAAACGAGAAAGAGAACACATTTTCCTGTCTTTGTCTCTCTAGGACAGTGCCCAATTCGTACTCCTGTAAAAAAAAAATTAAATAAAAATTAAATAAAATAAAGACAAAACCAAAATAAAACATTTTAATAGAGCAAGAATGCCCTGGTGCTAGTGTAATTGACAAAGTTTTTTCAGAGGGAGTTTAAAATCTCTCAAGGTACTTACCAACAAACAGAGGGATAATGCAAGTTTGCATTGGCTTTAGCAATATCTATATCAGAAAAACTAATTTAAGAGGAAAAAACAAGACACAAAAAACTTGAGCGTGGAGTCATATATTGTCATTACTTGGATGTATTTCACTTAGTAAATTGGTTATAATACTTTCCATATTATCAATATTTTTACTAAATTGTCTTAAAGGAGTCCCTTCATCCTTATAAAATTCACTATTTAAGAATACTAATACGGTGTTATTTGATTCTGAAATATCTGATTCCAGATGGATTCTACCAACCATCTGTGAAATCCCTGACCTGGTTCCAGATGGAGATGAGATATTTGAATAGATTTACCTGTGTGCCTATAAAATTTTCAGAGGAAAGAAAGAAACTGAAAGATGTGGAATTTACCTCAGAATAGGACTGATTTACAATAGTATCTTATTTTATCAGATGGTTATTTGGGAGAAAATCTATTTGGTACAACTAAACAAGTTATTAATTAAAGAAACTGAATCTAAGTCATCCAATTTTGATTCTACATTGTTTTCAGTGAATAGGGGTTACTATTTTTAGAAGAGAAATCAAGTCTGAGTGCTGACTGCAACATATCATAGATTTTTAGAGATATGTCTCTTTGGACATCTAGTCCAACTCTTCCTTCTAAAGGAAGCTGAAGGAGGTGATTCACCATGGTGACAGGAGCCAGACCAAAACCTAGACCTCCTGATTTTATTATATAAGCATCTGATGCTACAGCCACTCTGCTCAAGATTCTGTCTCCCACCATGTTGTAGCCTTATCAGAAGTTGGCCCGTGGATCCCCTATCTGTAAGCTGAAAAACCTCTAATGAGTCACCCAGTTTCAGATATATCTGTTGGCAATGCAGTAGCAGACTACAACAAAGAGTGAAGGATTTAGGATTGGGCAAAAGGAGGACTTGAACTGTGACATAATTGGAGCAAAGATCAGGGGATCCAAAAGGTACTCTGTGGACCTCAAGGCACGGGCTACCCTATTACCCAGCCTTGAAGCAAAAGTCTGGAGCCTCTGTGATCCTTCTCGATTCAACCAGTCCTTGAATACAGGCTGTTTTCTGGAAGTTAACATGACCTTGGGCAAGTGACAGTCTTGCTGAGGAAAATTCTGGAAGCAGGACTTGGAGGAAGACTGTCGTTCGCCATCACTCCCAGCAACTGGGAAAATAAGCACCGTAAGTCTTGAAGAAGGCTACGTGCGTCACAGCCTCTACTGTAATGCCTAACCATGGCTTTCTGATCATGTCTTCGTATATGTGCACTTGATTTCTCCAACTCATTAACAAAACGCTTGTTGATAGATCCCTGATTTATACTGGGCTCAATATTACATGTAATCAATTGCTAGACACTATTAGGAACTCAATCATGTGTATTGATAGATAAAAATAAAAGGAATTGTATCATTAACTGTGGTTTGAAGATGGTAACTTATATAATAATAATTTTCCTCTTATTAAAGCTATGATTTGAAATTAAGAGTATGATTTATCATGTTAAATCCATCATAATCTTAATATGAGAAAATCTGTCTTTGCTTTTTGATTGACTGTTGACCTACATCATGGGGTGGGAGGGATTAGAAACCAATATGTTATGTTAAGATAAAAGAACATTAGTGTAAGCCCAAAGATACAACTTTCATGAAAGGCTTCCCTGTTGTCCTAATTAATTGCTCAGAAGCCTAAGAGGGAAAACCCCTGCTAACTTCTAAGTTAGCTTGGTATCCTTTTTCATTTGTATCACCAAGGGGTACCAAGTGAATAAATCAATATCCCTGAAGCATATACTTAAAAATGTTAAACTTTTTATCTCCCTAACAGTTTCTTTTTTTCATTAAGAAATAGGATTAAAGAAGATCTTCACATTTAAAGCAGGATGAAGACTTGAATTTAGAAAGATACAAAACTAAAATATAAGACATTGTCACAGATTGCAAATGTGGGTTTGTATCGAATAACTCAGGTGTTTTCATTTCATCTGGAAGATCATTTGTGCCAAAGATTTAATGTCTTATATACTACCATCTGCATGCACGAAATAATTTAGGTCTACGGAAAAGACACCCCCAAGTTTTAACTAGTGCTCCAAACAAGAAGCAATCTTCAAGAGTAACTGTAACAACAGAAGAACCCAAACCTCACAAACAGCATTGAGAACTGTAATGAAAGACTTTTTGTGTCACTGAAGCATCCCCTTGGCAGGCCCAGCTGCAGCTGTTAACGTTCCGGGAGCATTCTAAAAGGGCAGATGTGCCTAAGTGTGGCCGTGCCCTTTTTCCAGGGGCAGGACATTGTGTCTCAGCTCTAAGCCTTAAAGAATGGCCTCAGACCCCTCATCCAGAGAACTGGGCTGTTCCAGGGTTGGTGGTGGGAAGTAAGAGGCTGTCTCTTCTAGTCCATGACTTCTCAAAATGCCAGAGTCAGCTGCAGCTGAGATTTTCTTTTAAAGAATGTCATGTACAATAAAATATTTTCCTGGATAGATTTGCTCAGAGCTTAAGATAATTTCCACAGAATTTTATTAAAATTCTATGCAAAGCGTCAACCTCAAAAGAAGGCTGTGGTATAGTAAGTGGAACAAAAGTGGCTTATTTGAGCCAGGACTTGGACAAATTCAACTAGATGAACAGACGCTGGTTCTCTGGAAATGTGCTCATCGAAATGGTGACCAAGAAAAGGGATTTATGTAACAGAGAAGGACTAGAAGTGGGGGGAGGGTGTTACAAAGTTGTCAAGAGTTTACATTGGTTCATTTAAAATACTGCAGCCAATTGATTGGTTATACCTTACTTTTTACATCATGAACTCCAGAGAACACTGGGATAAAGAAAGGAAGATCACATTGTAGATTTATAATAAACTAGAACATGCCTTTGGAGCGATAACCCTCATGGGTGTGAGACAGAACCAAAATCTCAGGCGTGTGTTTACTCGGGGCCCTTACCATGAATTCCACAGACTGCTTTCAACTGTTTTTCTTTCACAGAAGAAAAGGTGGTGCCTCCGCATGCAACAGGGTGGGTTCAGATGGGACGGTGATCTGTAGGAATTTAGCTGGGATCTCAGAAGCAGTGCATGATCTAACAATGCTGAACTAAGAAGGCAAAGACCCTCATTCTGTCCTCCTAAACCACAGTGCTTCACCCAGGTAATGCAGTCACATTAACAATTGTCCTGCTTCCCCTTTCTTTGAAGGAAACATTAATGTATCAATGGAGTTACCTTCACTCTAGTCCCCAACATCTTCTCTTTATCAAGATTGTTGGGGAGACCATTAGTTAGCGTAATGGCTATGTCGCTGAACTCCCATGTAGTCGACCATGGTTGGAGTCCCGGATCCGGTGGCTTAAACTCACGCCAGGCACACGTGCGTGCATGCCCAAAATCCCGAGAAGAGAATGGAGGAGAAGGGATTGTGGCGTGGCCATCCCCCTGGGAGGTGATTTCTCTCTTTCTGTCTCTCTGGAGAGTGCACGCACCCTGTAGCAAAAACTCTTAAAAAAAGATTATTGGGAAGACAGCAGATAGAGTAGCGGTTACTTCACTAGACTCCCACATGGCCAACTGTGGTTTGAGTCCTGGACCCAGTGGCTTGAAAATCATGCAGGCATGTGTGCCTGCATGCCTAAGATCCCAGGAGGAGAATGGAGTAGATGGGATTGTGGCATGGCCAACCTCTGGTGTTGGGGGGTTGATTTTTCACTTTCCCTCTCACTGTCTCTGTCTCTCTCTCCATACCCTCCCTCCACCCCTGCCATGAACACACACCCCTTAAGGCAAAAACCTCTTAAAAAAAGTACATCACCATGAAAATGGAACTATTCATGATGTGTTAACCGATAGAAAAGTCACTGAGTGATGACCTCGTCTACAAGTTTCATGGTATTATATAGATAGATAGGTGCACATCTAAACCAACAAAACTAAACAAAACAAAAATATCTAAACCCTTTCTATAAAAGAATTCTGCAAGGAAATTGTTTACTTGTCTTTGTCTATTCTGGAAAAGATATTGCCTACCTTGGCCAGATACATAAAATAATAATAATAATAATAATAATACCAGAAGGATTTATTAACTTGAAACTTTATAAAGGCCACACACACAAAAAATTGTTGACATTGACATTACTCCCTACAATTAGAACTATATTGTATAGAAATATATGATTTGCTTTTTACAATTTCTCCTCCCAAACGAAAAGTTTCTGATATAATTCTCCAGATCTTTCTACTGGGATCTCTTAGGACGGTTTGTAAAAGAAACTCACTGGGCCGGTTGGTGGCATGGCAGGAATTTGCTACTCGAGAGATGCTGGACCCATAGGGAAGAGCATGGATTAGATCCCTGACCACTCTGGGAATGTGCATCCATGATCCTGGCTGGATGGAAAGGCTGCAGGAATTGCAGCTTGGGACCCTGTTAAGGGTGCTTCTCTCTCTTTATCTTTCACTCTCATGAAAGAAAGAAATACACTGGAGAAGAAGGAGGAGGAGGAGAAGATTTTGCTTCCCAAGCTTCAAATATGTGGTGAAAATCTTTCGGCTTTTGGAGGAAATGTTGAGGAGAAAGGATCTTCAAATTGTAGTGTGTGTGTGTGTGTGTGTGTGTGTGTGTGTGTGTGTGTGTTTACTTATATAACTTGCCAGAGGGCCTGTGTGCTGTCTAGAGACAGGAAAGGAAGAAAGCACCCCATCACAGGATATGGTCACATAACAATCCTTCTCTGTGTGTCCATCCTGTCAAGATTATGGGAATGCATGTGAATGTGCACAAGCTGTCAGGGCCAAGACTTGAGCTGCATGTTTGGCCCTGTGGGATCTGGCTCCCCTAAACACTAGGCCACAGACTGACTGTTCTGTTTTGATGTTAGACGATAGAACCTTGCTATATTGTGATCTTCCCCGCTGCAGCCTCCCAGCTGGGATGCAGGTGTGCCATCACGCCGGGCTCTTCATTCAGACATGGTCTTGCTATGTTGCCTAGTCCAACCTCAAGCTCACAGTCCTGCCTCAGCCTCCTGGAGCGGCTGAGCTTACAAGCATGAACCACTGTGCCTAGCATTAAGCTTGGACTGGGAATTGAACTGAGTCTCCCATGTGGTCCCTGCCTATGGAGCACAGTGTCTTAGCAGAGTGTACCACCACAGCTGTGATAACATCTTAAATAGTTTTCAGATTGTCCTTAGATCAAACCACAGGCTCCCTTCTCTGCCTATCATAGTCTCAGAGACCTTTCTGTTCTCACCTCCATTGTAATCTGGTTCTTGTGTTCTATCCACCCCTTGGAACCTGATACCTCAGACTGTCCTTTTCTCCCCAAGTTCACTGCCACCTGAGTTAGAGACTGCTTTCCTTTTCTGAGACCTCATTACTAACAGTCATGCTCCCATGCCCAGTTCTGAGTCTCTGTTCCCTAATCTAGGTCACACTAGATTCTCCATTTGTAAGAAAGATATTCCTTGTGGTTGTGGATTAATACCCTGCTTTTGCGTGATCTTTGGCTGTGGAAAGCAATGATTCATACATCTCACGGTCTTCTGACCTGGAAGATCTCAACCACTTTTATCTTGGCCAATCTTGTGAAATGGGTTTTCAAGAACTCTGTATAAGGATATATGGACCAGCCAGCCCTGGGGGTCAGTGATTAAATGCTGTACATTGGGAGCCAGATCCCACACAGCTAACCATGACTTGAATCCTGGTCCCAGCAGCTTAAAAAACATGCTAGGTCCCTGTGTGTGCATACCCCAGGTTTTGTCATGACGGAGAAATGGAGGAAAAGGCTTGCAGCATGACCATGCCCCATTGAGAGGGCTTTATTTCTCTTTCTGTTCCTCTCTCTCTGTTTCTCCCTGGTAGGTACATGCACCCTCTGTCAATAGAAAAATAGAAAAGGATATATGCACCACATCCAACGTAGCCAAGTGGGCCTCTGTATGCTGAATGGATCATAAACTTGGGAGTAAAAGCTGTTCTCTCTCTACTCGGTGTCAATTAAGGGTCTTCCATTGTGTCCCAAGAGGCATCAGATACTGAAAGCAGTACTTTCGACTCTTTTAACCTTATAATCCTTACATTTGACTTGTAGAGTGAAGGAAAAGTGTCTCACAGATGCTGCTGTGTGCAGGTCCGACGTGATGTATGTATCTCGACCAGCCGGTCCTCATAATCTGGATACCTGTCTTGTAATTCACATATTTTGTTTTCCCACTGGCTTTAGGTACACAGAGTAAATTCCTCCAAGTCCACATTTGCCCATCCACTATTCCTATCCACAGAATATTGACCCACTGAGTAACTGGAGAGAATTTATATCACTTTACTCTCATCTGGTACACCTACCTCTCACCACAAAGTTCCCTTACAAAAATCTAAGTGCCACCTTATCCCATCAAAACTATGGCTTCATTTCCCAACATCCTCCCCAGAGGTGTCCCATGGCTTCATTCCGAGGGGATACAGCCATAAAAAATGTGCTAAAATAATGCCTCCTGAGGAGCACTGAGGCAAACTGGGCAGGCAAAGGAGGTGGCACACCCCACTGTCTTTGCTGACTCCTCTGGGGCAAGGGTTCTTCCTCAGAACCAGGTTTGGAAGTCAAAAGATGTGGAGAAGTGGGGACTCTGGGGCTGGGGTGTGGCAGTGTAAGACTTTAGATTTGATGATTATCATCGCGGAGGTTGAATTTCTTCCACATATCCCTCTTAGAAAGTCACAAGTAAAAGACTGGCAGCACTTACCCTGACTTTATACTGAGACCCCAGGCATAGTCCTGTTAGACCACCTGGCTAGAGTCAAGGGCACTTGCTAAGGCCAGGGCTGAAGCCATCATTAAAGGAGTTTTGTAGAAGGATTCCTTTTCCCCAAAAAATTTTCCTATTGGTTCATAGTACTTTGAAAACAAAACAAAACAAAACCATATTAGTCCCCCAGGCTTGGGCTTTGGAATTCTTAGGTATGCTTGTTTTCAGCCAATTCCACCCTTTTGAGGGACTAACCCTTGTTTTCCAAGGTGTTCTTCCTATTAACTGCAGGAACAGATCTAAACATGATATTGATTTAAAAAGCAAGGTTAGTTTTCTCAGATCATAAACCTAAATGCTATATTTTAGTCACAGATATGTGTAGTGCATTGAATTCATGCCCACCCAGTGCCGTCGATATCACCTTGTTTGAAAAGGGGGTCTTTGCAGATACAAGCAGTTACGATGAGGTTAACCTGGATTAGGGTGGACTTTGAAGCTGCTGACTGTGTCTATAAAGAAAGGAGCAGGAGATTCAGACGCAGTGATAATAGATACAGGAAAAGGCTATAGGAAGACGTCGGGAACCAGAGATTGGAGTGGTATAGTTGCAAGCCGAGGAACTGCCAGTAGCTGCCAGAAGCGAGGAGAGAGGCAGGCAGCAGATTCTCCCTCGGAGGTTCCAGAAGAAACCACCCCTGCCAACACCTCGCTTTCAGACTTCTGGCTCCCAGAACTGGAAGGGAATAAATCTCTGTTCTTTTAAATCACCAGTTTGTGGCAATTTGTTTCAGCAGCCCTAGGAAACCAATACAGCATGTACTTCAAAGCCACTTTTACTTCTCCAGCAGCCCTGCCTACACAGCAGCCAGAGGGATCGTGCTGAAGTGCAGAGCAGATCGTGCAGCAGCTCTGCTCAGAGGCAGGGGCGGCCCACAGAAGGGTCCACGAGCTCCACACACTCCGCACCTCCCTCATCTCCCCTTCTCTCTCCTACCTCATTTCATCTCTTCGTTGCCGCTCTGTCCTTTTTTGATGGTTTTCCAACACACCTTCAGCCCTTGCCTTTCTGTCAGTCTGGAATATTCTTTTGCCGATGTACTCCTGGATCCCTCCCTTACCTTCTTCAGGCACCTTCTTGGTGATGCTACCCCTCACTTCTTCAGTTAACATCACTTCTTTGCTGCCTTACTTTTCTCCTTAGTACCACTGTCTAGTAGATCGTGCATTTTACTTATTTATTTTAGTTATCATCTGTCTTCTCCAGTAGACAAGGCTTGCTATCTGTTCTGTTCGCTGCAATATCCCCAGCATCTATGTGCTTGATAAACATCTGTTGAATGAGTGAATGCATTCACCGTGTGCAGTTGTGCTTTCATATTTATACATGGGAACACCTAGCATCAAAACTTACAGTACTGGGACCAGCAGATGGGGTAGCAGTTACGGAACTGGACTCCCACATGGGCAACCGCAGTTCAAGTCCTGGACCTGGTGGCTTGAAAATCATGCCAGGTGCATGTGTGTGTGTACCCAAGATCCCAGGAAGAGAATGGAGAAGAAGGAATAGCAGCATAGCTATCCCACCTGGGGGGATGATTTCTTACTTTCTCTCTCACTGCCTCTGTCTTTCTCTCTCTCCAGAGAGCACACGTGCCCTAAGGCAAAAACCTCTCAAGAGCAAAACAAAACGAAACACAATCTTGTATTATTGTTGCTGATCCTGGACCTCCCTCCAAAGTTGGCTATTTGGCAGTTGAGACGGGTAGCACCTGCTGTTCTTGGTGCCCAGTCTGTGGAAGTGGATTGGATAGCCTAAACATCAGAAAAGTATTTTCACACAGTTCTGGAAATTAGAAGTCCAGGTTCAGGGTGCCAGCGTGGTCAGATTTGGGTGAGGCTCTCCTCTAGACTATAGCTGGCTGCCTTCTCTCTTTGTCCTAAGTGGCAGAAAGAATGAGTTTTTGGTCCCTTCCCAAAAGAGGGAATCCCATCACAAAGACCCCACCTTCATGATTTAATAGAACATAGTGATCTCCCAAAAGCCCATCTCTAAATATTATCATATAGGAAGTTAGGGTTTAAATATATGACTGGGGGAGTCACAATTTGGTCCAAAGCAGTTAGGTTTCCTGAACCAGCAGTGCCATATCCTGCAATATGGGGATATGTAGGCTTATACACAATAACATCCTGAAATAAAAATGGATACAATCTTTCCTCTAACAAAAATGGATACCGTTCCAAATACTGTACTTTGTAACAGTACAGACTATATCTTATTCATATACAGTCCTGACAACTACCTGAATATAGAAACATATAGATGTTTGAAAATATTCTGCAGGAAGCCTTTGTACATGGAGTTACTATAGTTATCTCACACTCTGCATTTTGTGGGCAATAGTTTGAAATGAAATTCAGGTTAGGTTAGAGGTGCAAGTAAATATTACTTCTGTTTTCTATTTTTGCATATTTATAATCACAATGTAAATGTCATTTTAAAAAATGCCTTTTGAGCTAGCAGGTGGTATGGATGGTAAGGCAGCTGGATCCCACATGGTTAGCTGCATGGTTCAAGTCCCAGACCCAGTGGCTTGAGAAACACACCAGGCACTTGCATGTGTATGCCCAAAATCCCAAGAGGAGAATAGGGGAAAAGGGATTGTAATGTGGCCATCCCTCACGGAGGGTGGAGGGAATGATTCTTGCTTTCTCTCTCTTTCTCTGTCTCTGGTGAATGCATGTATCCTATAGTAAAACAACAACATAGCAATAAAAAAAAAAAAACAAGAAAAAAAAACACTGTCTTTAAATTTAAGGTTTATCAAAAATATTTTTCACATTTTTGAAGTCTTCATACTTCTGATTTTTAATGATTACATGACAGGACATCTTGTTAATGCACCATGTTTTTCTAGATCATTTTCTTATTGTAGAAAATTAATTGGCTTCTAGATTTTGGCTATTATAGATAAATTTGTAATAACAATCTTTCTGCATCTAGATTTTTGCTTCTATATAATTAGTTCCTTCAGGAAGTTCTCAGGAGCAGGATTGCTAGGTCAAAGTGACAGAGCATCTGTGTGGCTCTTGCTACACATTGCGAAGAATGTGATTTTAAAATACTATGCATGTATGTGCTTATGCATAGAAAGTACTGGATGGTGCCCCCAAGTACTGGGTGGTGGCTGAATTCACTCCAGTGTAAGAAATCCTGTAGACATCTCTATCTGAAGATAAATATAGATTTCCACAAGAACCAGAGGTTAACAAAGTGTTTGTCAGTTTTAGCACATACAGGTTGATGGAAATTATATGCTTTTCATAGAACTTTCAGGGAATTTGAATGACTATTTTATCTCTTATCAAATAAAAATGTAGATTCACAGATTTATTTGAATGGTTAGTCTCTACACCATAAATCAATATGTTCCACATGGAAATTTTAAAAGAAAGAGCTACTTACTTCTGTGGTCATTTGGAATCCCAAACTACCTTGCTCATTGGACAATGTCAAAAAATATTTGTCTAATGAATGAATGTGTAATTGTTCTGTTCTTTATCTAAAAAAGAGTGCAAGATCTTCAGCTTTACTAATCAAATTAAAGGGAATTAGAGTACTTTTGAAAAGAAAAAAATATGAACCACCATGTTGACTTAGTGGTTGAGAAAGCCAGATCCCACATGATCAACCATGAGGTTCAAATCCAGGACCTGGCAGCTTGAAAAACATATTGGGCACATCTGTGCGTGAGCCCCAATTTCAAAGGATGGAGAGATGAGGAAGATATTGTAGCATGTCTACACCCCATTGGGAGATACTTTCTCCCTCTCTCTGTCTCTCTCCGGAGAGTGCATGTACCCTCTGGCAAATCTGAAAAAAAAAATCATTATTACAGTCTATGATTAATTTACTACATACAGTTTCCCACTTCTTATTGTTTAATTTAACAATTCAGACATATAATAATTAATATAATATCAATTTCAGTTTAATAGGTGGCAATTGCCAAAAATATTGAAGGACATTTTTCAATCACCTCCAATTTGCACCTATTTCTATAGCCCTCTGCAGGATTGCTTTTTCCTATGGAGTAACATTGATCATGAAAATAGTCTGCACTACCACCAGCTGTCATTTCTTTTGAAATTTCAATTATTTCAGTCTTTTCAGATTTGAGTAATCAAAAATGTATAACCTGTTTCAAAACATAAATTCTTTCAGCTTTTTGCTTTTAAAAATGTGCATATTTTTATAATTACCTGCCTTCAATCTCTGGGATCATGAATGCATTCTTCTTTCTAAAGGAAAATGTGGGTAGCAAAGATATCAACCTAAAAGAAAAATAAGTTTTAGACTGAAAAGGGAAGTATCTAAAGAAATAGACAAGGTGCTGGAGATGCAGATGAGACTGGAATCCAATCTGCCCCAGTCTTCTGTGGTGGGCTCTGACTGGCCCTCCAGTCCTTCTCTTTGTCCCCATCAGTTCTTTCCTTGCTCCATACTTCCCCAATGCAATATTCAACTCTTTAGAAATATGCCACAATTTTGCAGAATATTCTGGCTTTGCACACACAATTCTGTGCCCTTCACTACCTTCTCTTTCTGGAAAATTGTTAACTGTCTTCACAACTCAGTTTCATTGTCACTTCTACTGTTAACTCTCTCCTAACAGCCTTCCCCCACATCTTAGCCATCCCACAGCCCCCAAAACACTGACCTGGTCACACAAGAAATCTACTTATTTCCTTTTCTAAGAGTACTAGACACATTTATTCACCAACTCAAGTGTTGTATTAAATGCCTACTATTCAGAAACTGAGAAAACAGTGCTGAACAAAACAAACAAGCTTTATGGGGCTTCTGGCATAATGGGGATAAAGAGACAATTAACTAAATAAGTAAATTATTTAAATAGTATGTTAGAAGATGATAAGTGCTTATGAAAAAAAAAAAAAGCAGAAAAGGGGTAAAGAAGTGCCAGGGGATGGGTTGTGTAGGAGGTGGGGAAGACGCTTGTAAGTTGAAATAGATAGTCTAGAAAGACCTCAGTGAGAAGGTGACATTTTGAACAAGGAGATGAGGGAGATGAGGGAATAAACAGTGGGGATACTTGATGAGAAGAATTCCAGAACAGAAAATGCAAGGGCTGTCAGTAGGAGGTTGCCAATAATATTGGAAGAACAGGAAGGAAGCCCATGTGGATGGAAGAGAGTGCACAGAACTAAGAGTGATGGTGGCTAGGTCAGAAAAGTGAAAGTGTAGAGATGGGGACCCAGATCTTATGGTGTACTGAAGGCCACTGTAAGCACTTTGGCTTTCATTAGGGTTGAGATGGAAGCCTTTGGGGGATTTTATCACAACATAATCCAGGTTATAGTTTTAATTATTTCCTATGATTGTTATAGAATGTGGACCATTAGGGGAACAAGGTAATTATCCGGACAAAAGGAGATGATGACTTGGGCCAGGAAGTAGCAGGCGAGGTAGTGAGAAAAGTCAGATTCTGGATATATGTTGAAGGTTGACCCAATAGGATTTCATGATGAGTATGAGAGAAACAAGTCAAAAATGACTCCAAGGTTTTTGGCCTGAGCAACTGGAAAGATGGAGTTGCTGCGGCCTGCAGGTGGCATGGTGGTTAAGGTGCTGGATTCCCACATGGCCGACTATGGTTCACATCCTGATCTTGGTGGCTTCCTTTCTCACTTACCCTCTCTCTGTCTCTATCTCTCTGGTCAAATTAAAAAGTAATTATAATAAAATTAAATATTTTTCCCCAAAGATAAAACTGTTAATGTATTGAGACGATAAAGTTGTAGAGGAGCAAATTTGGAGGGCAAGACTAGAAATTCGATTTTGTTCATGTTGCGTTTGATGTGCTTTCTAGTTTTTAAAGTAGAGGTGTCAGACTGTGGTTGTATGAGCTGGAGTTTGGGGAAGATATCTATTAGAGATAAAAGCTCTGGAGCCTTATTATTTTATTCAAAGTGGATGAATATAAAATACTTTTTTTTTTCCTTCTGTTTTTTTTTTTTTTAAGATTTTTTGCTGTAGGATACATATGCACACCAGAGAGACAGAGAGAAAGTAAGAAATCACCCTAGGGAGGATGGCTACTCCACAGCCCTTCTCTATTCTCCTCTCAGGATTTTGGGCACACATACACATGAGCCCAGCTTGAATTCCAAGCTGCCAGGTCCGGGACTTGAATTGCAACTGGGCATGTGGGAGTCCAGCACCATAACCACTACACCACCTTCTGGCCCCTAAAAGATTTAATGTTAAGTGAAGTGAGCTAGACTTTGAAAGATACCCACTGTATGTCCCCATAGATTGTGAACATCTACAATCTATGAAAGAAATGGAAAGATCTTAAGATATAAGATAGTAGAGGAGACTGTAAGGGAAGGGAGTGGGTGGTAGAGGGTGAGTGGGAGTAGAAAAGAAAAGAAACATTTAACAAACAAATGTAAGATTCTCTGTTGAAAAAAATATTCTGTGATTTTTGCTTTGTAGCAATCAGAATTCAGAAAAAGAAAACACATGTATGACAGGAAAAAATTTGGAGGGGGCTGGCCCTATTGTGTAGCAGTTCAGTATTGTGCATAGAAGGCCAGATCCCACATCGCTGACTGTGGTTCTAGCCCTGGATCTGGAGACTTGAAAAAATGCTAGGCACACGTGCATACATACCCCAAATCCTGATGGGATGGAGAAATGGAGAAAAAAGAACTGCAGAATGACCATGCTCCATTGGAGAGGGGATTTCTTCTGGGTCTGTCTACCTCTCTCTCTGGTGAGCACACATACCCTGAGGCAATAAAATACATAAGTAAATAAATAAAAATAAAAATTTAGAGTCATCAACATACAATTGCCTTTTAAAGTCATGACACTAAATGAGAGTGTGAAGGGAGTGGTTATATTAGAGAAAGAAAACATAGATGTCCAAGGCCTGAGCTCCAGGGTATTTCAACGTTGAGTCACTAAGCTTACAGGACTGTTACGCCATGTTCACATTTCATTGAAATTGTTATGTTTGTCTTATACTGCCACTAAACTGCAATCTCCTTGATGGACAGAACTGATTTTATTTTTTTAACAGCTTTATTTGAAGTATAACTTATATTCCATACTTCTGATCTGTAATTCAATGATTTTTAATTTTTACTCAGTTTATATCTTCAGTGACAGGTATACGGTAATCACTTAATCAATGTTTTTAGCTGAATGTTGAGTTTTTAAGTGAATGAATATATATGATTTTAGATCACCCTTTTGCATTTCTGGATATTATTTCATTACATTAAAAAACAAGGTGCTGACTAGTGGAATTTTTGCTTTTAGTTTTTTTCTTTTTGCCATAGGGCATGTGTGCTCACTGGAGAAAGACAAAGAGAGGGAAAGTAAGAAATCACCCTCAAGTGAGGATGGTCATTCCGTAATCCCTTCTCCTTCATTCTCCTCTAGGGATTTTAGGCACACATGCACACATACCTGGCATGATTTTTAAGTCCCTAGGTCCAGGATTCAAACTGTGTTCAGCCATGTGAGAGTCCAGCGCCTTACCACGACACCACCTACTGGTCCCTAAAGGATTTTTAATTTTCTTCAAACTTTGAAATTTAAGATTCTAAATGTTTCAAAAGTGTGATGGTTAATTTTATGTGTCAACATGGCTAGGCTTTGGAGTGTCTTGATATTTGGTCAGACATTATTCTGGGTGTATCTCTGAGGTTATTTCAGGATAAGAATTTGCTGTGGTATACTGAGTAAAGCAGATTGCCCTCCAATGTGGGGGAGCTGCCTTCAATTAATCGCAGACCTAAATAAAACAAAAAGTGAGTAAGAGAGAACTCCTCATAACTGCCTGACCTGGGACATCAGTCTTTTCCTGCCTTCAGACTTAAACTGAAAAATCAGCTGTTCTTGGGTGTGAAGCTTGCTGACTTTCGGACAACAATTAATGCCATTAGCTTTTCTGATTCTCAGGCTTACAAAATCCTAACAAAACTTTAGCAAGTCACATTAAAAAAGATAAGAAAGGAATATTATATATGGACATGGGAGGATTTATTCCAAAATTGCAAAGTTGGTTAGCTTTGGAACATTCATTAATGTAATTTACCCACCAAGTGTGAATTTTGTCATGATAAGAATATCTCAGTAGGGACCAGCAGTTGGCATAATGGCTATGTCACTGGGCTCCCATGTGGTCAACCACAGTTTGCATTCCAGACCTGGTGGCTTAAACTCATGCCAGGCACATGTGTGTATGTGCCCAACATCCCAAAAGGAGAAAGGAGGAGAAGGGATTGTAGTGTGACCATACCCCCTGGCAGGTGATTTCTTGCTTTCTGTCTCTGTTTTTCAGGCGAGCACACATGCCCTATAGCAAAAGCCTTTAAAAAAAAAAAAAAGTATATCTCAATAAATTTGGGATAGAAGGTAACTTTACCAACTTAATAAAGAACATCTATAAGACAAAGACAAAACCAAACTTAAGGCTAATATCATCTTTAATTTTGAAAATCTGAATATTTCACCCTGGCTCTGGCAGAATAGTAAGGGATGGGAAGAAAGACAAAGGCATACAAATTTAAATAAAAAAGTAAAATTGACTTTACTCATAGATGAAATAACTGCATTCAGAGGAAATCCTGAAAAACTAAGAAAAAACATGCTGGAAAACATAAGTTTTCAAGATATAAGGTAATATACAAAAGTTAGTTAGTTGTATTTGGAGCCAGCAAGTGGCATCGTGGTTAAGGCACTTGACTTCCATATGGCCAACCACAGGCTGAGCCCAGACTCGGTGGCTTGAATCACACTGGTCACATGTGCTGTGTGCCCAAAATTCTGAGAGAAGACTGGAGAAGGAATTGCAGTATGGCCATCCCCCCGAGGGGTGGGGTGATTTCTTTCCTCTCTCTGTCTCTCTCTCCAGTGAATGCATAAGCTCTATCAAAAAAACCTAAAAAAACAAACAAACAAACAAACAAAACCCTGAAAGGTTTATTGTATTCCTATACAAGAAAATAAACAATTCGGGAACCAACAGTTAGTGTAATGGCTATGTCGCTGGACTCCCACGTAGTCGACCGCGTTTGCGTCCCGGACCTGGTGGCTTAAAAATCACACTGGGCGCATGTGCGTGCGTGCCCAAGATCCCGAGAGGACAATGGAGGAGAAGGGATTGCGGCATGACCATCCCCCCTGGGGGGTGATTTCTCGTTTTCTGTCTCTATGTCTCTCTCTGTCTGTCTGGCAAGCGCACACGCCCTATAGTGAAAAACCTCTCCAAGAAAAGAAACAATACAATGAATAATATAATGAACAATGATCAACTGGAAATGAATTTTAAAATCTGTTTATAATAACATAAAATATAAAATACTTATGGCAAATTAAACAGGCAATACCTATAGACTGAACAATACAAAATATTGCTAAGAAAGTGTAAACAGAACCTAAATAAATGATAAGATATACCATATATCAAGTTTTTTGCAAAAATTGACAAATACAGTCTAAAAAGACTCAGAGTAGTCAAAGGTTTTTTTTTTTTTTTTTTTTTTTTTTTTTTTTTTTTCTCTTTGCCATAGGGTGCTTTTGCTCATTGAGAGAAAGAGAGAGAATGAGAAAGGATCCCCAGGGAGACTGGCACACCTCAATCCCTTTTCCTCCATTCCCCTCTTGAGATTTTAGGCATGTACACTTGCCCAGTGTACTTTTCAAGCTGCTAGGTCCAGGACTCAAATTGTGCAGTAGTCATGTGAGATTCAGCCACTTCACTCACCATCCCATGGGCCAGTCCATCAAAGTAATTTTGAAAATGATAAAGGTTGAGATACCTGATTTTAAGACTTACTATAAAGCGATAGTAATCAAGACAGTGTAATTGATCAAAACAGTACAACAATACAATGCAGAACATAATAAATAGAATATAGAAGTAGACACATATATCTATTAAAAAAATGATTTCAACAATGGTGCAAAGGTAATTCAATGGGAAAATGGGTTTTTTTTGGGTGCTAAAACAACTAGAAACCTATACAATTAAATCCATACCATGAATGGGCAAAAGATCAGAATAGACACAACAGAAAGTACAAAGTGGGGCTGGGCAGTGGTACAGCAGTAAAACATGATGCTCTGTGAGGCTGACCCACATAGGAAGGTTCTGGGTTCATGTCCCGAGACTATCGTGAATACCCCAGGAACCTATTTGCCCATGACCCAGGGCTGGCTAAAGGAAAGGAGCAGATTGCAATATCAAGTCTCCACTGCAGGTGATGCTTTTCTGTCTCTTTTGCTCATAAAAGAAATAAATTTAAAAACAACAACAACAAAAAAGGTATAGGGAATGGCCAGCAAGAAAATCCATCAGAAAAATGCAAATTAATCATCAGGAAAATGCAATTGCAAGCCACAATAAGATACAATTTTATGCCCATTAGAAGAATTAAAATTTAAGACTGACAACTCCAGTTGTGGGTGAGGATGTGAGGTAACCAGCAATTTCCTATAAAGTGAAATATGCACCTACCCTATGACTCATCAACCCTACTTCCAAGCATTTATGTAAGGGAAATGAAAATATATGTTTATGGGGCCAAGCAGGTGGTATGGTGGCTAAGGTACTGACCTACGGTGGTTTGAGTCCCAGACCTGGAGGCTTGCTTTCTCACTCCCCCCCACACACACGTGTGTTTCTCTCTAGTCAAATAAAAAGAAATAATAATAATAAAATTAAATAAAAATTCTGAAAAAGAAAAGAAATACATATTCAAAAAAAGCCACATTCAAGAATGTTCATACAGCTTTATTCATAAAAATCAAAGTCCACAAATAATCCAAATGTTCAATTACCAGAAGAATAGCCACATAAATTGTGGTATATCTTAATAAAGAAATATTACTTAACAATAAAAAAGCACATTTTCCCAATATGTGCAATGATGTGAATGCATCTCAGAAACATTCCGCTGAGCGATAAAAGCCAGACACACACACACAAATACATACAGTATGATTCCACTTATCTGAAATTCTAGGAAACAAACTAATCTATAGTGACAGAATGCAGAGCAGTGGTTGCCTGGGGTTGCCTGGGGGTGGGGGCGGGGTAGGTGCAGCTGAGATCCAGTGGTGTGACTAACTGGCCATAGGAGCTTGAGCAGGAAACTCCACCTCCCAGCTTTGTTAGTTTTTTCAAAAGTAACTGATAAATAAATCCAGATTACATGTACTAGCTTATCTTCAAGGTCCCTCCCAGCAATGAATTCTTGGTGTCTTCCGTGTCCAGACTCAGGAAGAAATAGAGGGTTTTTTTGTTTATGGCATTTGCATTGAATTCCTAAATCACAGCATAATTATAAAATGTTTTTGTCAGAGTAGGGAATCATAGTCTCGTTGCCCCCACCCAGAAGATTACGAACTAATAGAATACACCACTAAACTGAAGAAAGTGTTCTTACTGCAGTAGCAAAGGACATGTGGGGTTTTTTTTTGAGAGGTTTTTTTTGTTTTGTTTTATTTTTTTTGCTATAGGGCACGTGCGCTCGCCAGACAGACAGAGAGACAGAAAGCAAGAAATCACCTCCCTCGAGGGGATGGCCATGCCGCAATCCCTTCTCCTCCATTCTCCTCTTGGGATCATGGGCACGCACGCACACGCGCCTGGCGTGAGTTTTAAGTCACCGGGTCTGGGACACGA